CAGCTACACGCGCCTACCAGGCTGCCAAAAGGCAGGCACAAGACAACAAAGGTCCGTTGTTGTCTACGTAGCTAATACTTAAGCTTACGTTTTAGAGTTTCCGTACCGTGAACCTTAGTATAAAGGTTAAGTACCTTAATTCCAATTAGAGATTAGCCAAGTAGCTTAGATCTCTAATATATTCTATTAGTAATACTAACCTATTTTTTTCAAGTTTACTGAGGTCCTATAAAGGTTTACCTTAATTCTTTTATTATATACTTTAAATATAAAGTTATTTTTTTAATACCAAATTCTAGTAGTTTAGGGTATGGCCTGCTATTTTTTTCTAGGATAGTTGATCTAATACGCTTTATAGCAAACAGAGAAGAAGAAAAAAAGTCAAGCGAGAACAATGTGAGACCTCTAACATTGATATTTTAAATAATAATATCGGGCTTAGAGAAAACAGTTTGAATAGAGAGAGCGCCATCATCTGTAATGCGAACCCTGTTACGATGCAAGTATGCTTTTGCAGAAGCTACATCGTTGAAGTCAAATGACTCAACAGCTTTGAAATTATGCCACTGTGAGGGTTCGAAGAGTGGGTTGCCTTTAAACAGGGTGTTAGTATTAGGAGGGGTAATATCCTGCCAAAGAGTATATCCTTGAGCTAGGTCGTCAGTCTTAACGTGCGTGATGAAGTCATCAGATCGCTTCTCAGTCCAATCCGCGGTAACAAAATCCTCTTCTCCAATCCTTCGATGGAAGAGAAGAACTCTGACCAAGTCCTCTTCAGTTTTGCTTGCGTTCTTTGAGAATGTTGCAATCCTCCTCGTGAGTGTGCCTTGCTGGGTGTCAAGCCTGCAGAATATGTGGGACCCTGCGTTCGCCTTGTATCCAGCATCTTGCATCGAAGCATGCAAGATAAACATAGAGGGCCATCGAAGCCGTGTTACGTAGTCCCATTCGGTGCTTTTCCCAACGGCGGCGTCCTCTTTCAAATTCTGATGCTGCGTGTAGCCCAGGATGGGCGCACCATGTTTCTTCCCTTCACGAGTCATCCCAGCATGAACAACTTTGTACTCGTGTGTAAACTTGTCTTCGGGCCAGTCATCACGCTTGGTAACAGTGATGAACCATTCAATTTCTTCGTACGCTGGAAAAGTGGTTTTCGAGGTGCTTGACAGAGCGTAGTCCACCTTTGCCACTGAAATTATGGTCGCCAGGTCTTTTCCTTCATTGATTGCCTTGAAAAACTGATCCCTCTTGGCAACATCTTCTGGTTTCTGCGATCGTGCTCTGATCATATTCGCAGTGGTGAAAGGGTCTGTCCTGTACCGCCATATGTCGCGCCTGATCTCAGCGTATCGATCCAAGAGGTTTGGGTTAGCTCCACTCAATAAGATTTCTTTGAGGTTTTCACCCAAATGGGCAGCGTCGAGTAAGCCAGTATTTAGACCAAGTCCGCCGAGAGGATTATTGAGCTAAAAAAAATCGCGTCAGATGGTAGGATCTTTCACTTTTACTCCCTCTCTCTGAAAAAAATCATGCTAAGACAAAAAAACGGGGCTGACTTACATGAGCAGCATCGCCTGCCAGCAACACATTGCCTTTCCTGAAAGTAGTCGCGCAGCGCTGATGGATCTTGTATGGCGCCATGGACTCCCATTCGATCTTGGAGGTGTCTCCGGGTAGAAGCAACCTTAGTCGATCCTTGACTTCTTCAACCATGTCATCAGTGAGGATTGCAGTGTCGTTTGTTGACCGGACACCTGCGGCTAAGCGCCAAAGGTCTCCCTTTCCTCTTTTCACAACCACACCCCATTTCTCTGGATCAATAATAAAATTGGCCTTTTTCCAGCCCATATGGTCGAGAGGATAGGAAAAATTGCAAGCGACCATTTGCGTGTTTTCCCACGTGAATCCTTCGAGCTTGACACCAAGCGCTTTCCGGACCGCGCTACGTCCTCCATCCGCACCGATGAGATATTGACATGCACCCAAGAATGTGCCACTTTCAGCAGAAGTGGAACCAACCCAGACATGGATTGAGCCATCCACTTGTTGTTCGTGTCGGAAGTAGGCATGGTTCATCAGAACCTGAGCATTTCCGGTCTGAAGTAGGTTCTTGTAAACTATCTCACAAAACTCGGGTTGGCCTAAGAAAAGGCCGAATTGGGGATCGTGGGGTGGCGGGGTAGCGCTGGCAAGTATCTTGGACGAAGCGTCCCTCCAATCGCATCCACTTTGGTTCTTGTCCCCAGCCTCCATCAGATCCGGCAAAATGCCTGCTTTCTCAAACTCGTCTATTGCGGCCGGAAAGTAACTAAGCGACATTTCAAATCAATTAGCCACATGATTTGGTTACAACCGTGAGGCAATATTGTAGAACGTGGGCTGCACCAGGTTTGAACTTACACAACTGCACGTGGAGATTGGTCGAAGTGAGATGACTTCTCCAGAACAGTGACCTTGATGCCTGCTCGTGCAAGGAGAAGTGCGACAAACAGACCTACGGGCCCTGCCCCAACGACAATGACGGGTGAGGTAGTTTTGACCTATGAAGGTTTGGTCAGTCATATCGAACATGAGTGGATTTAGGCTGCAACTTGCTGTCATGGTGAAGGAAGTACTTTGTATCGGTTTCGGATAGCTTATGTTGATGGTTGATGGCGGATACAACAGCTTTTAACTTGAAGTAGCAGTCATTACTCACCCTCAACCGTGATGTCGGCATGCCGATCAGGGCAGCCGAGGGCATTCTTCACGCCTGCGCATGTGAACCCCGACCTCGTGCATATGAAGATGGCCCTGCTAATATAGTGAATGCAAAGGAACCTAGCTGGATAGCGGATGACTGCACAAGGTCGTGGGCGTAAGAGCCGCGGGGTGGTCCTACTAGTCACTAGCAACCCAAGCCTAATAAGCCTTTCCTCCTTCTCGCTCATCACATCAGGGCGTTCTATCAGTCGCCGGCCACCCCCCACAACCACCACAATGCAGCGATAACGACGCTCTATACAGACTTTTCATGAAGGCAGGCTTTGGTCTTGGTATAGATGCAGTGCAGAAGAAAACAAGCTTGTACTACTCCTTCTTATGCTGGTACATTGTATACTCTCCCTCGTATAACACTATAGGGCCGCCTCCAAGTGTTAGAGAGTAGCTGCAGAAGCTGTAGGGTTCGGGCATGAGACACATGACCCGGATCATGTACGCAGCTAATCAGAGCTCATGGCTAAGCATAGTACGCCAGCCTATGTTAGACTACTAGGGGCTCACATTCATATTCATGCTAGCAAGTGGGAAGGCTTGGAAAGTGAGATTTAGTACACGCTAAAGGTTTCTGATTCTAGTGGCAAAGTGCTATGAGACCAGCTGAAAACCTTTTCTAGCAGGGAATCATGGGGATTGTGGGCGCGGCGCAGGGGCACTGCTCGGCTTGCCGAAGTACAAGTACGAGTCGAGATGCGAGATACGGGAGGCGGGATCCGGCAAGCCGAAAGGCCGAAAGGGCGAAGCAAGGCCAGGCTAGGCCCTAAGCTTGGCAGGCATTGACAAACCTGCCAACTTGGTTTCACTTTTGCTTACGTACGTGTTCCGGCAATCGTAACCGCCATTTCCGACTTCAGTGGTGCTCCACACATACCCCGCATCTCGCTAAGCCCGCACCCAGTCACAATGCGCGGACATTGTTCCTCTACGTACGTGCGCATTCGCAAGATAGACAGACTCGCACTGCCTTTCCTGTGCCTCTAGCCTTCTTGCTACCTCCACGCCCATGCTCATCCGCCGGCGGCTGAAACGCGAGGCTTGCCGTCGCAAATTTCTCTTTCTACTCCTGCACACAGCTTGTCGCGTCCCCCACAATACTCGCCCATGAGTCCGAATGGCTCGGATTAGTCGATGAACATTGGTCAGCTGTTCGCTTTTGTTTACACAGCACAGCCACGAGAATTCTGTCCTAACTCCGGTGCAGCAACATGAAGCGGCCATTTTCTTCGCTCCAAACCCGAGACGAAGGCAATAGAACTTTGAGCAAAAGAGGCCTTGCGCGCCAAGCTCCAAGGGCTTCCCAAGCATGTCAATCTTGTGCAACTTCCAAAGTTCGCTGTGATGATTTGCAGTCTTGCCGTCGTTGTGTCAAACGCCGTGTCCCATGCATTCGCTCGACTTCATTCAGCCAAGATCATAAGAGCTCCCCTGAAAACGAGGTGAATGATGCAGATAGCCAAGCCTCGGGAGATGGGATTGCTCATGAGGCCTATGATCGTCCCCAACACGGAACTGACGGGGAACATCTCGTCAGCAAGAACAAGGCTAAGGCTCTCGTGTCTGTCGAAAATATCTACCAAGACGTAGCACTAACTTTCAACCCCCCAACACTGGGCGAAGAGCATACCATGCCAGTAAGTGAGTGGTCTCGCACTGTTACTGAGTAGCCGAATGACATCCACTGCAGGCGTTCGATGACGCATGGACTTGGGATCAATCTTTTGACGCATCACTCATTGAAGCCACGGACTGGCTGAGATCATCTTCATGCAGCGCCGATTTGGATCCTTCGTTCCTTCTCCCAGCTTCATCTTTCGGACTACGCCATAGCCATGGCAACATCAAAATCGGCGATATGGCAACACCAACAATGCCAACGCCAGAGTCTCTGTTCGATCAGGATAAAGCCAGATTTGAAAAGGCCTTGGAAACTCATGTCACGAATCTGGGAAGTGGGAAGCTGACCTCAGAGGATTGTTTGGCGACTTCAAAAGCAGCCATGTGCATCCCAATTCCCAGCTCAGATCTCACCAACGATGCTTTAGGTCACTTTGATCCCAAAGTGATCGATGGAACTCTATCTAGTTCACAAAGAGACGAGATTATCATTGCGATGAGTGAAGGATCTACTTCGTCTCAAGCCTTATCGACGGTTCGGGCATTCCCTCCCGTGGAAGCATTAGACAAACTCATCAGAGTTTTCCTGACACGTGAGAAAAACCTGGATTTGGACTTCGTTCATCTTCCAACCTTCGATATCTCGGGTTGCAGTCTTTACCTCCTTATCTCATGCATCGTCGCAGGCGCCTCATCATCACCAACTCGATCAGTTCGTAAATTCGGCCTAGGGCTTTACGATATCTCGCGATATCATATGTTAAGAATGGTATAGTGCATTAGTCATAACAGCAGGGTTTTAGTTTCTAATAAATGAGTAGGCTGAGCATGATAACCGTCTTTACCGAGATATTTCCTACATTCAGTCGCTTTCAATACTCTCGGAAGTAGGTCTTTGGAGTGGCGATCAGAGAATATCTGAACAGTCTGATATTTCATCCCAGATCGTCGCATCGGTAAGACGTCATCTTAGAATATTAATCACCCATCTTGTGTTACTAATGCATTATAGGCTCTCCGAAATTGGGGTTGCTTCTCTCAAGATGCATATGTAGACTATGCGACTGACATGTCCAGCACCGCGCATGACCTAGACAAAGCCTGGAGAGAATGGGCAAAACAAGAGTCCTTGAAGCGGTCAGAATTACAAGCAGCCCTTTTAATAGTGCTGCAACTAATGCCAAAGCTATAGAACTACCTTCAAGCAACTCATTCAATGCACTCAACGATCTGTTGTCCGAAAGATTCCTCCTCAGATTTCCCCGTTCGAGGTTCACACTCCCCTTCCAGGAGATGCTCAATCTTGGTCCGCAAACTCAGCCATCGCTTGGAAGAATCTCTACGCGAGGCATCAATCGACATCCCCGAAGAAGACAATGAATCTTTTAGATGCTTTTGCTAAGATTCCAGCACTTGAAATACCCTCTCCACCCTACAACATCAAGGCGGTTGACTTGTGTCTTCTCTATACTTTCCTTTCCATGCTTGTGGAAGATTACCGTCAAGTGCACGCCTTCCAAGGGCGTAGGGACTTTGGTTGGTCATTTAACGACTACTCACAAGTACCGATGCTGAATCGTCAGGTTTCTTTGTACAGCGAGCTGCGTCACTCCATCAACGCAGATCCGTATCGCTCGTCGTCAGCTGTCGTAGCATTCATGTTTGATTTCAATATCCTTTTCTCAAGTACACCATTACACCTCTCTGACACACTTCTTAATTATACTAAGCGACACTCGAGCACTGAAATATTTTTACAGCTTCGAGAGTGGCAGCAAACTCGCTCAAGTAGACGCGCAATCTGGCATGCTGGCCAGGTTATTAGAGCCTGTAGGATGATATCTGCCGCTGAGCGAACAAGTTTCCACGTATTTGGAATGTATCAGGCTCTTCTTTGCCTCTGGATTTATTGGACAACAACAAAGTTAAGAAGAGCATCTAGCACAACATTTCGTAATACCAAAACGCACCAGATCCTTTTAGATGGGCCTGAGACCATAGAATCGCAGCAATGGATAAATCACAATGCTGGTAATCCGTTTCTACGAAGATCATATCAAGCTGAGTCAAGTGGTATCGCGCTTAATCTCTTCGCTATTGACGCAACGAATCAACAAGAACCAAGGCTCGCTCTATTCGACGTGTTAACAGACTGTTTCGATGAACAGGTTATCGGGCGCTATATGCCTATACTGCAGTCTGCCCAAATGGTCTTACAGGCGCTGGAACGAGTCTAAAAATGGGGTTGTGGCTCTTAGATGACGTGGGAATTGGCTATAAAAGACCTCTATATAGCCATGGAACATAGTTGATCAAGCCCATCCGTACGCCATGTAGAAATATCTGTACTCAGGAACAATATTTGGCCGGCTTCTGAATGAATTCAGGTGGCTGTCACGGCCATTCTAGCTCATTATCATGCCACGGCCATTGAGTGTTGTCATTTGATCCCAGTTACGAAGTATGGTTTCCAAGCTTTCGTCTTTCATACAAGTAAGACGGACAATTCCAGCACTGTTCACTAGAATGTCTACTTTTTCATACGTCTTTATCGTCGAATCAATGAGCAACTAGGCCCCATCAACCGTCGCAAGATCTGCCTCCACGACGATGCCTTTTTTCTGGTTTGGCAGTGAATCCAGAACACTCTGAGCTGCCTGCCTTTCTGCCGGACGAGGATAGTTCATAATCACTGATGCCCCACTTTGCGCCAACTCTTGTGCGATGGCAGCTCCGATGCCTGTAGAAGAACCGCTTACTACAGCCACCTTACCTTCAAGCTGCTTATCCTGCTCTTTAGACATTCTTTTGTTTGGTAGGGAGGAGGGGGGGGATGGGTGTTGCCAAGCTTGTCATGGGAAATCTTCCTGTAGTGAGATGAACGCTCTTGCCAATTTGGGCTAATTGAGAGGCTGTATAGTATGTATAGTATTGGTTCTTTCAGCTTTGTATCTGATAGAAGACTCGAGATGATGTGTGAGGTAGGGTTTTTGTATGCTGAAGTGCACTGGTACTTATCATCATATTTATAGGATTTAAGTCGGCATGCCGTATCCCAGCTACTCAACTGCGTTCCCCTCACTTCTACCCTCGATTCAATACCTATTAAACCATTTTCATACTAAAGAACATGGGGAAACTCGTGTTCACAGCTGGCCCCGGTTTCGGCAAGCCGAACTAACTCATGCCCTTTGAAAGAACATGGGGCAACTTGTGTTCACAGCTGACCCCGCTTTCGGCAAGCCGAACTACTAACTCATGCCCTTTGCGTTCAATCAAAGCTTTGTCGTGTAGTATACCAATGCGTAGCTTTTCCACAATACTAGCTAGATTCACAATTCTATTTGGACAACGATGGTATTTCCAAGTACCTTGTATGCCTTTTTGGGGCGATCAAACCACCTTCCTTGAACAACGTGGCCTTTTTACAATATGTGCCCCTTGGGTTTTTTTGAATTCGCGAAGAGTGGTCAACGAGTTGCTTGAAAAGAGAGCTGCCCTGTATTCCGATCGTCAAAACTTCCAATGGCCAATGAGCTATGTTCCGCTGGTCAGCGCCCGGTGATTATGCCGTACGGGTCGGATTAGCGCAAACAGAAAAAGGCTATGCACCAAACTCTCGCTAACACAAAATCAATATTATTCGAGCCATTCCAGGATACTGAATCACGGGCATTGCTTTTCCATTATTTGCAGAAACCTGAAAGATGGTGGGAGGCCAACGGGCGATACGGCAGCTCAATCATCTTGAGTGTTACTTATGGGAAACGGTCAGACCTGGGTGATGCTCAGCTTCGGGATGTGTCGGAATGCTTAGAAGATTTTGGCGCATACTTGGCACCGGGACGATGTCTCGTAGACAACCTTCCTTGGCTTCTCAAGGTGCCACTTCCGAAGAGTTGACAGCCGTGGCGATGGTGGGGAGATGTTGTTTTCGAGTGAACGAGAAGGTGTGTTCCATTGACTGTGTTACAAGGGTAACTGAATTACTAATACACCTGGCTATCGCAGTGTACACAAGACGATATTAGATGATTTGCTTGAGCAACGACAACTAGGAACCCAAAAATCGTGTTTCATGACTGATTTGATGGACAAGAACCAGAACAGCGAGTTCACAGAAGAAGAGTATTATTTCATATCTGGGTTTCTTATAGAGGCAGGATCCGATACAACACGTATCTCGATATCAATGGCTCTCGCTGGGGCGAGGGCTTTCCCTGAATGGGTAGAACGAACGCAAAAGCAGCTAGATTCCGTGTGCGGATCGCAGGCAAAACGTCTTCCAGAATTCAGTGATATGGACAGTCTTCCTTTGGCCAAAGCCGCCATTAAGGAGAGTCTGAGGTGGAAGTGCGTTCCTCATGATCATTGAACCAGTAAACATTTGACTGATACAAGCATAGGCCCGCATTTTCTGCGACTGGTCTCTCTCATGCCCTCATAAAGGACGACACTTTCGAAAGCTTTACTTTTCGTGCGGGAACTGCGGTGACCTTCAACAGTTGGGTGATATCTCACCTGGATTACGAGGACCCAGAACGATTTCTTGATCAAGATCTTGATACACCTACAAAGGGTTACCCGAGTTAAGACATCGGGCTCGGTCAGCTTCGAAAAAGCCTAGACTCTGCCCTACTTGCAAGCTGTTATCAAGGAAGTACTGAGGATTCATTCCGCTGTAGGATATATTCTTCGACGTATGGTACCAGAGGGAGGGGCTGAGCTCGCTGGCCGCCATTTTCCACAAGGAGTGAGTATACATAGCAAGCAGGCCTTACAAGGCACTGACTAGACTCTGCAAACGCAAGTTCGAGTGAGTGCATGGGTACTGCATTACAACGACAGGCTGTGTGGCGAAGATCATCGTCAGTTCCGGCCTAAACGTTAGTTAAAACTGGGCGAGGCGGTCGCTTACATATCGGTTTCAGTTTGGGGGCGGCTCACGAATCTGTCTGGACAAGAATATCAGTCTGTTGGAGCTGAATAAGGTAAGTCCATCGATAGTTAGCAATTATGACCTCATGTTCGATACGGACAAGCCATGGGAGCTGTACTGCAATTGGTTCGTGTGACCGCACTACAACTTCCGTATCTTACCTCGTAGTTAAAGGAAGATGTAGTAGCGTATCATATGTGTATGATTTGATAGTAAGCTGCGCCCAACAACCCCGCATGTAGCACCTGGTTCCAATAATCTCTATCTTCAATTCTTAATAGAACTAAGTTAAGAATAAGTATTAATTCCTTATCCCTTGGTAAATATAAGCTACGAACATGAGAAAGAGGAAGACAACTTCAGACAAGTATTGTCAGGCGGGCTCCTAAGAGAGCCACGCACGCAGCCACACGTACCAACCAGTCAGCCAAAAAGGCGGGCACAAGACAGCAAGCTTAGCTTATTGCTCGCATGGCTGATACTTAAGCTTGCCGCGTCCTCGCAGGTAGAACAGAGCCTAGCTCCGTGACAAGTATTGAAGTATAGATAATTCCTAGAACGGCACCAAGCTTCTATTAAAGCTATATTTAACATTAACTAAGTTAATTTCAACATATTTCTTAAAAGTATTATAGTGTTGAGAAATGCCTTCAGCATTTTAAAAACTATTCTACGAATGATCATTGAATCAACTTAATGAAGATAATTTACTGGATGATTTAACGGGCTGAACGCCCTTTAGAATAGCTCCTTCATAAAATCTTAGCTACCTAGACTCTCTACCTATCACCTAAACTACGTTTAGACGACAACTATAAAGACTATAGAGCTACTCCATACTTCTAAACCTTACTAGCCTAATTATTATTTAGGCAACTAGCTTATATGTAGACAGCTACGTAGCTTAGAAGCTTAGCTCTCTATCGAATACACTCTATTGTATACCTTGCGATTTCTCCCAGGAGCGCAAGCCCTTACAGGGACTACAATTAGGAAAATAAACGTATAGTACAAAGGCTAGGCTATGACAACGTAACGTTCAGTAACAACACATCTTTTCTTAATCTTCTATCTTATCTATATAATGTGTGGTCAAAAAACACGCAAAGAAAATATGGAAAGAGCTTTTAGATATCATAATAGAATAAAAGTGCAAAGACTAGTAATAATACCGAAAATATAAAAAGACTTTTGACCGTTTACATCTCGTAGCGAGCTTGCCATGAAGCTCCAAATAGAAATTAGCATGTCAAAACCAGAATATAATAATGGACTCAATAGTAATTATAGAAGAAATTTGGGAATATTGATCCTACTGGTGGGGGCTGGTCATGTGGCTAGGGGGCTGCATGAGCTCCCCACCGACCTTGTTTAACATGGCATACCTCCGCTTCCAAAACTGGATCTTTTGCCGTGGTGGCAGGAATAAAAACAAGGGATGTTCAAGCATGAGTAATGCAGGCCGCACACTTGTGAACATGTCACACCAATGCACTTCTGCCTAAGGAAAAAAGTTCACAGTTTGCAAGATGAATCGTCTTTTCACAGCTGCTCTATGCGCTTGTGCATTCGCGCTAATGAACAATACACCAGCAATGTCCTATGAGACTGTTCAAACACAGAATGGAGCTATCACTGGCCACCGCGCACTGAATGCTAACGATGTTTGGGAGTATTTAGGAATTCCTTATGCCCAGCCGCCGTTGGGCGACCTACGATTTGCTGCACCCAAGAAATATGATTTGAAATATCCTTACATAGCAATGAACTATGTATGTATTAGCCCAATATCAATTTCTACTTACATGAGATGATATTGGTGAATTTTTGTAACTAATTTGTCGCACAGGGATTGTAAAGAGTCATTGATACACAAAAGTTAAAACCTTGTCTAACCATTCCCAGTGACTGCCCGCAACAAGCTGCGACCCAGCCCAAGTTTCCAAGCTTCACTACCCAGGCCCTTCGAATTCTGAACTACTTTACAAGTGCCGCTGGTACACAGCGAAGCGAGGACTGCCTAACATTGAACATTTGGACAAAACCATCGATGAAGTCCATGAACTCGGATAAACCGGTTTGGATCCTTTTTCACGGAGGACGTGGGTTTCAATCTTCATCATGACATGTAGTCATTCCTCACTGACCTTAAGTAGGTTTTGCTGGAGGTGGATCGAACACGCCCTTTGCCAACGGTCAGCATCTGGCCAATGCAGAGGATATAATTGTAGTCTCAGTCAACTACCGTTTGAACGTGTTTGGTTTCCCTGGTGCACCAGATGCTGGTACAAATCTTGGCTTGCGAGATCAGCGTCTTGCAGTTGAATGGCTTCAAGAGAATATCAGAGCATTCGGAGGGAACCCTAATCACATGGTTATTGCTGGACAATCTTCGGGTGGTGTTTCAGTGAACTGGTGGTCATATGCGTATGAGCAGAACCCGATTGTCCACGGCCTCATGTCTACTTCCGGAACCGTGTTCAGTTTCCCTTTGAACAATCTCCAAAAGCAGAGAGACAACTGGAACAACCTCACCAATGCCGTCGGTTGCGGTTCTTTAAGTGATACTCTCGCTTGCATGCGTGGGTTACCATGGGAAACAATTTCCTTGGCTGCAGCCAAGATCCCAGTGAGCTCAGGAGGAAGTCCAGTACGGTCTACACCACCTTTCTACCCCGTTATCGATGAGGAACTCGTATTCAGCGATTACAAGGCACTTGCCAAAGCCGGTCGCTTTGCCCGGTTACCCTATTTTCTCGGTCACAATAACAATGAGCAAGGATACTACGTAATTCCGGCATTTGCAGCTGGACGTAACATCACAGAGGCACAGGCCTCTCAATTTTTATTAGAATCTTTTGTCTGCCCTGTATCGTACGAAGCTAAAAAGCTTGTCAATAACAGCATTGCAACCTTTGTTTACCGATACTACGGCGACTGGGACAACACCCGCCTCTACCCAGCTAGCGGTGCTTACCACGGTTCTGAGCTGCACATGATTCTTGGAGGCTCAGAGGAGACTAGTGGACTCCCTGAGACAAAGGCTCAGAAAGATACCGTTAAGCTTTTTCAAAAAGCAGTAGCTGAATTCACTGCAGACCCTGACAATGGTCTGATCGACAACTTGCGCTGGCCACGATTCAACCCAACGACTGAGACATGGGCTGAGATCGCTGTTAACAATACCCCGCGACTTAGCTTTACCAAGGCAGAGAAGTATGACAAGACGTGCCCATTAATAACCATGGGGGCTTTATCTGTCGAATGAAGACCTTTTTCTTAGGGATACATACTTATAACGTCTTCCTTGATATTTTGCAAATACTTCCTTAAGCTCTAAGCGACCGAATAGACAACAGCGCCGCGGAAATTAACTGATTGAACGATCGTTATGGTAGAGTAGTCTGCATTGTCGCGGCATGGAAGGATATGTTGATGGATCTAATACCACAAGACCTGTATCTCACCGAATACACAATTTGCACCACGCATCAGGTCACCAACCAGTTAAGCAACAGCATTTGTCACAGCACGATGCATCCGATAAGAATCATGTGTGAATGAGGACACGTGTATCGTATGCGATACTAGAATTTATCTACATATCTTCAAAAACAGTGGCTGTAGCCAGCTGGTCCCTACAATTTCAACCGTCATGCAGCTTGCTTTCTATTGGGCTTACTCACCTCGATCTCAACTCTGGTACGTTCAACACCGTGGAAAGACCCCAACAACTTCTCAACGCTTTTACAACGAGCTTCGAATAGAGCTCTCGCGAGCTATACCGAATATGATCACCCAGTCTGATCGATCTCGGATCCGTGGTCGCGAGCAACTACGCTTATCTTCCCTGCCCATCTGCCCAAAATCATGCCGCTTCAACAACTTCAGCACCATTCAGTTTACTCTGTTTCATCGCCAAGGAGTTGGAGAACTCAACTCATATCTCGCTGATAGATATTGCAAGCATAACCACGTTGGGCTGTTCAATCACACGCTGCTGATCATCAACGAGGCAAAGCCCCCAGTTTTGAAAAGTTTAGTACTCGACGGATATCGTTTCGCTGGACCTTTAGCTAAAGAGCCTCAACATGATCTGAAATCAAGGGGATGAATGTAGACATCTATGATAAATGTGCCATACACAAGCATTGCGTCATCGTACAAAACCCGAGACGAAAGAACACACCAGACGACTCATACCAGCTTAGCGTCTTGGTGTCAATTTATGGATTGGGAACAGTTTGAAAAGCTCAGCATCAACTCGCCACATAATATCGAGTGCGTCTTGGTACGAAACTGGCTGGAAGTAGCTGACTAAAGAGCCTGGATATCACAAACTTAGACTTGCTGGAAGCGCTGGACAACAACATTCTAACGCAGCTGAGATGGATTGGAGAGATAGAGAAGGGTGAACTAAGAATTTTACTCGAGTACCAAAGCTGATAACCCCGAAAATTAGAGTACTGCTCTGACGAAGCCATATGCCCCGAGTTCCCATACCCTTCCAGCTCTTGGCCCAAATTTCGAGCACAACAGCATTAACATACCTCAGAAAGGATCTTTGCCAGTTAACAACTTGAGAGTTTTGGCCAGCAGTCCAGACTTGCAAACTGCTGATCTGTTTTCCCGAATGTGAAACGACTACCACGCAAAAGAAAAGATTCTAGGTATGTGCCAAATCGCATGTGGTTTCCGGAATATGACGATTTTGAGAGCTGCAACGCTACTGCAAGACATTAGCTACTTTATATCAACCGCACTACCGCTGAAGGTGTCTTGAACTTATTGCAATACAACAAGCAGGACAGAGATGCGAAACGTTACGCTGCTGACGGAAGACTGGACGTCGGAGTGCTTGGAAGCTCTATCATGTCTTACAAAGGGTAATGGTGGCTTTACTATCTAAGACGGTAAATCCGCCTGTTAAAGCGAAAGATGTTCTCTACCATGATAATCTTTGGGCTAAGGATGATTACAAGCAGAACTACGGCCGATGGCGCCAGCTAGTAATCGAGCTCACCGATGAGTAGCTATGAGAAGAGTATAAGAGGATTGAAGGATAGGAAAATCAGTCTTATGAAGTGCACGAGCGACCGATGACGCGGAGGAGAGAAATGAAGATGAAAGACGGTAAGAACGTTTACCGTTCATGGGTGGCATGGAGCTGTTAGCAGTGGTTCCATGCCAGACTGGACCCTGCTTAGATCACACGAATTACGACCTGACATTCTGCAAAATTCCCTTGCTAACATCATCATCGGGTTCGAGATGCGGAATGACACATGTCAAAAAACAAAACTAGTGTTCTGGACCCACACGATGCGGCATGCCTAACAACGATTCGGGCTATCGATCTGCAACGTGTACTTAGCTCCAGGCATCCACAAACTACAGTAGTAGGAATCAGTGCCGTTCGTATTCGATTTCGACAAGTTCCGCTTCTAGTAAAACGCTAGCAAATTTTTAAGGCTACATAAGTTGTCGAGGGCGATTGTCAGACTTCACACCATGTGAATTTTGATGAATGTCTGACAACTTCGACTTGGATATCCCCCGACATGGCGATTGCATATTATCTGCTTGGACTCGCTGCGATTGCGCATAGCACCAACAACATGAACGATTCCGTATGGATGCCTGGATCCCCGTGCCCAACATCGATCACCACATACATCGGCACTTCAGGTGGCGATTGGTGCGAGATCGAACCTGATTGGCCTCCTTGTCGCTTTCCGAACACCACAGTTATTCACAATGCCTTAGTCCATTGCTACGGCGTGAAAACACTGGACATCGGGTTCGAAGTAGGAGGATGCACAGGCCCGGAAGTCGATCGCTGGAACCTACCTATCAAGCTTTTGGGGGAAGGGCAGAAGTACCCACCGCTCGAGCGCTTAATTTTGGACGGGTACTCTTTCGGGGGTCTGTGGGAGAGAAAAGAAGAACAGGAAGAGCCTGCAGATCTGAAGCTTTATGGCGACGAATGGGATGACTACGAAGCGCATTGGAACCCAAATGAGTATATTGATGAAAAAAACGCAAGGGTTGAAGAGGAAAGAGCACGCAGTGGGGAAAGTAAGACGAATCTCGACATGTGGATCGAAGCTATGGACTGGAGTCAGCTGAAGGAATTAAGCATCAACACCAGGCGAAGCGAGATGGCGGAAGCCTCCTCAAAGCTACCACAACTGCTTATATCACTGAAAAGCTTAAACTTGACCTCTTTGGCATTTATACGTGGCTTGAAAGAGCACACTCTGAAGAATCTCAAGTGGGTTGGTCGGACAAAGAAAGGGCAGCTCGAACATATCCTTCAACTCCAGGGCAAGAGTTTGCGGAGTGTCGAGTACAGATGCAATGAGGCCTCATGCTCAGACTGGCCGCAGCACGTGAACATATCCACGATCGGAGAGCTTGCACCGCAGCTGCAGCACATCAGCCTCAATATGCCGCGCGTCAACGGTACATGGCCATTGAAAGAACTCGAAACCTTGGCCAGTATACCGTCACTCACATCTATGGAATTGTACTTCCGATTACAGTCTGACTGCGAACTATACGGGCAGTATCTCAGTAATTGTTACAGTTGTGGCAATGCGTATCGAGAATGGAAACATGAGAACTGGAAGACGGGACATTGTCAGGGAGAAAAGAGGTACGCATCGCCATTGTTGAATTCCACCACTGTGCAGGAGATGTTTGCATACCTACGCTTCAACAAAGTTGGTGCTGAGCTCAAAGAAATAACGTTCAAGGCTGGTGACTGGGGGGAACTGTACGATGGGCCACTACGTTTAGAGAGGTTTCTTGACGGCAAGCGAGTAAAGATAGTCTGCAAATCAGATTCTAGAAATAATACGTGCGACCAGGAAGAGCAGTAGACCTGAGGAATCGAAATTCCATTATAGCGGTTCCAATAAATCCTTATGACTTCCGCTAGCTATATTAATGTTACACGTGGATGATATATTCAGAATGTTTCAATTTTTCATACTGGGAATGATTATGAAAAGAGAGTAGCCGCTTCAGTTTCTCTGTACAGGCCTATTTATGACTGTTCTAGCCAATTGAAATAGCTTAATCATGAAGAGACGATGTTTTGATAATTCTTTACACTTTGAATCATTCCATAAGAAACTTGAAGATGCGAAATCTTAGCCTTTTAGCGGTACAGCAACAAACGCCACATTAAGGTAGAGGTTGTTATGCTTATGGATCAGAGTTGACCTCCAACGACAAGGTGAAATAATCTCTAATATCTCTTCCGTGAACACCAGGTGGTGTGATACCCCAAGGCTCAACCTCTGACTCCGACTCCTCCCTGTATTCGACCATAGTCGGAAAGAACGGGCTTGAGACCTTCGCTAGCCTGTTCAGCCAATCCTCTTTTGGTAAGGAGGGTGTAGAATAGATAAGATCCATGCCGTTCGGTCTGAGAAGATGATCTCGAACGTTGTCCATGCGGTCCCACGGATATACGTCACTCTCCATCCCTTCATGGTCTTCAGGATGAAAGTTGATCTTGACAGTCTTGAGTGCGGCCTTGCGAACAATAGCATGCCTCCCAAGTTGTTCTATCCACTCTTCTTCTTTTTCCCCAAAGTCATTCCAAGACTCGCTATGCTGATCGTGAATGCTAAAAGACCATCCGAAGAGCTTAACATTTGGTCCCAGAAACTTCGCAGTTTCCACAGTGAATGGTTTCAGGTCACCTGGAAAGCCCATCTGCCATCGAGATATAGTCAGAGATTCAAGATTATGGAAGATTGTTGCATCAAAGATGTGCTTATTTTCACCGCCATTGCGAGAGAGATAGCCGATATCAATGCTTTTGAGGGACTCGCTGTGAGATGAAAGCCACGCTTGGAACATGGGATAGTTCATCATCGAGGAGTTGTTGTAAAAGCTACCGAACTTGAAGTGTTCAAGCTGGGCTGGCCATTGAATGAGCATTGCAGTAGATTGCGGTGTTTCCTCGTAGTCTGATATATTGAGTGACGTGAAGGATGCGCTACGAAACAACTAGGCCATAAATTAGTATCTTAATACGCCTGATATTGCCTCTAAGGATCTCCATAGATACCTTCGGGTCTAGTAACAGAGAAGATTCTTTACACTTGGAAATTCCATGAAGATCCAAGATTCGAAGCTTCGGGATTGAGGCATTTAGAATAGGCTGAAGATGAAGCCCCCAACCCTCTCTACTCAGCTTCCAATGCTGCAAACTTTCCAACTTTTGCATCATCTTTTGGATTAAGTCCCATGTCTTCTGGTTTGATGTCTCGAATCCTCCATAACACTCGAAACATCGCACCCTGGTTAGCCATTTTGCAAGATCCTTTGCAATCGACCAGTCCGTTGGCCTTTGACGATAGTCTGCAACGCCAAGGGAAAAACGCCTACAATGACGGCCAAGGGAGGGATTCTGCCGTAACGCAAGATGCAACCGAATGGCGCTTTTTTTGGGCGGCACTATCGACGGTGTGCCATCAAATGATATAGTGTGGAAAAGCAATGGTTGGGCGATGCGGCTTATCCGCCAACATACACGTGACAGTGCTTTGGCGCATTTGGCATTAGGCCGGAAGCTGCAGTCGGAGCATCCTTGTGAACTGTCAAGTTCAAAAACGGCAAGCTCAATGATAGAAACTAGAAGCTCTTGGGGAAGCTTGAATATACTCATAGGACCAGTTGCAAAGGGATGGCAGGGAGAGGGGCTTTCGGAAGAAGGGCTTTCGGAAGAAGGCTTCAGCACTGTATCTGAAAGTGTAAGATCGATGATAGTAAGGTCCCTCTTTGCAGATAGCCCAAGATGCGTCTGTCGAGTAGCTCGACCCTGTTCTTTCATTTCTCCTCAAGAATATACTCGTAGTTGGCGGCTGGCAACAATCAATTGACTAGGGAAAGTCCGGGAAATGTAGTGAACAGAGCTCTCAGTACAGAATCGCGGGGACTGCGGGGCATTAGGCAGCAGCGGGCTCAGAGCCCCAAAATGACAAGAAATGCCCCAGTCAGGTTAGCGAAACAAGCAATCTTGGCAGTCCCTGTCTCAGCCTTGCACTGATACGGCAATTTTTCAGGCAAGAAAGTAGTCATTTGATAACAGATAATCCTGGTATCGTGAGACGAGAAGATAAGGAGCAGCGGAAGATACCTCCCTCCGGGTATACACGTCGTGACATCATCACGTGACACATGGTGTTGAGGCAATGACTGACAATACTTCGTAGTAATGTTGGCGCTTTGGTTAATGAACGCAGGTAAGACACCTACACCTCCCCAAGCGACTTCTCGTAGAACACGCTATGTGGTGCATCAATGTAGCTCCCGAACTTCCCTCTGGGGACAAACCCGCACTTCTCGTAGAACCTTCTAGCTCCTACCAACAAGTCTCCAGTCTCCAATACCAACACAGACCATCCTCTTCCTCTCGCTTCTGATTCGAGCTCCCTAAGTATCCGATGCGCGATTGATGTGCCGCTGCCTATGGCTCCTCGATGTGCTGGATCGACAAACATCCTTTTGATTTCAGCAGCATTGTCGTGCCCCAGCCCGGATAAATCTTGCAATGGCCGAAGGCCACCGCATCCAACTGGGATACCAGATAGATACGCGACAACAAATATTGGCACGTTAGACGCGGTTGGAGGAGTGCCTGGATCATCGCCGGCAAGGGAAAGTATTTCGGCACGCTGTTTAGAGCGGAGGTGGATACTGTCAGGATGGTCCCAAGATTGAAAAAGAACAGCAATTTCGTCTGCTTGCGACATGCTAGCTATGCCAAAGGGATGTAATGTCGCTCAGTGCCTATTGCAATTGAAATCACAAAGCCTATTTTTACTGCCGAGTGAGTCATCAAGCTCATGTGATCTGTGCTATATGGATGAGCAAAGTGGATCCTGAACCGGAAAAGGGAAGACCACACCGGAAAAGTAAAAAGCAGGATTCGGTTGGGACTGTGGACGTAGTTATGCAAACAGTTGTCTTAAAAACTGCCATCTTTTCTAACCTCAAGAGGCTTGCGCTCCTCCGGTTTACTCTAGATTATCCAGCCTTCGGAGCAGCAATAAAAGATATGACACGATAAAATGTCTTGGAAGAGGTGCTAGATCACTTTGAACATTCCCCGACTCGAGCAGATAAGTGTCTGGCCAAGGGCACTGAGGGCGAAAAACCGGACTTTTAGAAACTTATCCTCTCGAACAGTAAAGACTATTTTACTTTAGTGCATACTTCAAAGAGGCTCTTCGAAATCTAAAGGCCAGCAGCGCAAAGGGAACTGCTACAACTTCAACCCAATCCGACAAAGTAAACGTATCACGTGCGACTATTCTGCGAGGCTGGTGAGGGTGAAGCTGAAGACCCTTGAGCGGAGTCGAGCACGGTTGTGGGGAACAGGGACCGCACTAAGCCAGATCGGAAGTGTGGCTGCCTCCAGCTGAACTCAATCGTGACCAGAGAATGCGTACACAAGTATACCCCGCCGCTAATTACGGCTGTGCGTCCGCCACTTTAATCAATCTTCGGGTCTGGCCTGTCGTTTGGTCTAGATCAGGGGTAAAAATGAGTTCACGGTTAATAAGTTACGAGATTTTCAATCCAAAGACAGCAAGTGGATGGGGCCAAATGCATGTGTAGTCGCAAACATCCCAACTTCATGGCGGAGAAGCATTCTATTTTGAGGTGCCTCCATGATTTTTTTTCGCATTGCTCGGATTCGATTTGAAGATACCTTCACGAACTTGTTCGCATTACTTGAATCCGGTATAGTGAAAAGTTTCCAAGTGAATATATAAAGACATTGCTTTCCCATGTTCTTGTGGCATCAACTCGGGCAACTTCGAAAGTCGACTGCAGCATCACAAGCATCTCAAAAGTACGCTTCCTAGACAGAACGTCTCTCCATTTTTCAAATGTTATATCTAACCCATGATATCAGCTTTCATTCGCCGTTACAATGCATCCAAAGTTCATTCTCAGTCTTCTCGCAACCATCACTGCCACTGCATCGGCACTTCCGACTTCTGATGGCGTGGAAGCCAAATCAATCGAGGCTAGAGCAATTGCTAGATGGAATGCAAGTGGTGGATGTCTCACCAACTGGAGTGGCCGTTGCAATGCTGCTTGCAAGGCTGAGGCGGCAGGACATAAGTGCAAAGGCAGCATTGGTTCATCTATTGATGGGGCTGGCTGTGGCCTGTTCAAGAGCTATTGCAAATGCTCCTGTGAGGTCTAGGGATCTGATTAACGCTTAAGGAACTGGATGTATCTATGCAATTTTCCGAGCCAGACCCAAGTCAAATAAAATCCTTACAATCCATCAATGAATTCTATATCCGTCAAATCTTTAATGTCATGAACCACACAACCAAGCTACGATTATCATCCGAGAGATGTTCCTGAAAGAACCAAGCTGTGCGAGTAAACTTTAGTTCAAGATATTTTGAGAAGATGCATCCTATACCTGTAACACTCCAAACGTACTCTTTGAAACCCAAAGATACTTCAAATCAACTTCATTATAAGCACTCTAGCAATCCTCCAAGATAGTTTCGTAAGCTTTACGGGAGATCGTGAAAGTTGGTCCATTTGGCATAGCACCTGGTACGCGTGGAAATACCGAAGCGTCAACTACACGAAGATTTTCAACACCGTGTACTCGGAATTTGGAGTCGACGCAAGATTTGTGGTCCCCGGCTGGGCCCATGCGACAACTGCTTGAAGCGTGGTGACTGAATGCTTCATCCATGAGGGCTTGATGCATTTCAACTTCTGGGTTCGGCGAAATAACCGTATGTGGCACTCCAATATCGTCGTGGGCACGCAACAGAAGATCGACGCCCTCAGCCAAAGCTTGCAAATCCGTTTCAGCATTCTCGGCAAAGAAGTTGAAGTTAATCTTTGGAGCTTGTCGTGGATCCTTGGACTGAAGACGCACAGTGCCGGAAGGGTTGGCAGTCTGCATCTTTACTAAAGAACTTCCCCACATATCCGGGATTGGCTCTCTTTCAGAAAAGCCGGGATAGAAACCGGAATTACCCCAGCCAGCTGCGCTGAGGAAGAAGATATCGGCATCATCGTCCCAGCTAAAGCTACTTCGCCAAGTAAGGAAGAAAGTACCGCCGGACAACGAGTAAGGACCAGTCCCATTTGTGCTCCATGCAACAAAGCATGGATCCGATTCGTTGAAGGTCCTGGTGCAAGAGACGTTCGCAGCCTCTTGCCACGGAACATCGGCTCTTATGTGCACAGGTGTTTCGTAATTGTCTTGCATGAAGTTGCCCTGTAGGATCGTAAGCCAAGTTATCAGCAACCGTACATGCATTCGAGACTTACCACTGCCGGTAAGTCGACAACGACTGGTATTCCGTGCTCTTCTAGTTCCTCGCGCGGTCCAATTCCGCTGAGTTTCAGGATCTGAGGAGTGTTGAAAGTGCCTCCTGATACAATAACCTCCTTCCTTGCGCGAACGGTCCGGACATCATTCGCTTGCTGCGATGGATTGTACCTGCGGTCCGCTGAGTACAATCCCTCTCCAACCATGTACTCTACGCCAGAAGCTTGTGGTTTCCCATCACAGTCCTCGAAAAGAACTCTTGATGCCAGGGAATGCAGACTGATCGTTAAGGGGTATCCGGCTTCGACCACATTGTTGAGATGTTTCCCAATGCTACTCCTGCTGCCGCTAGTAGGATCGATGGCTAGCGGGAGCAAAAACGTCAGATTACTCGCGTAGCGGTCTGCATCGATTCTGTTGATATCACGGACAAGCAATTCGGCCAAGTGCTCCACGTTTTCCGGTTCGATGCCTTCAGTCTCACGAATAATAGAAGACACCAGAAGAGCCACATTTTCCGATGTGATTCCAGTTGTGACCAATGGATCCATCATGCTGGACTAGATGTTTCACTACGCGTCAGCAAAGATTGCCAGCCTGGACAGCACAAGACTTACCACAACAGGACCATCGAAGCCATGTCCAGGAGTACCGTGCGGAACATACGTACAGTTCTCAAGCTCGATTAGATGCTTCCGCATGTACTCATGTCCCCAAGTCTTGTCTCCGGTGAGGTTAGCGATGTAATCCCACTCGTTATCGGGTGCCCATGCGAAGTTCATCGCATTGACTTGCGAGCTACCACCGAGTGTAGCACCCCGAGGGTAGAGAATACCCATGCTACAATTTCATGGCGCGTTAGTCACACATGAAGGAGATTCGTGGGAAATGAGGTATACGTACGGAGTTGAATCTGCTGGAGGCTCGAGACCGACGTAGTACGATCCATTGCTCCTTAGATACGCATATTTTGGATCACGTCGGGCCTGAGTCTCGTTCGCAAAATGCTCGACGAAAAAGCTCCATGAGTGAGGAGGAGTTTCAGCAGCAATCGAGTTCCTTCGCAGTTGTTAGCACGGTGAGGGAGCTAGGAATGTAAACCTACAAAGATGGGATTTCCTCAACAAGTGCAGTTGTGCCGTCGCCTCCCGCTTCGATAAGAAACACAGAGTATCCGCTTGTCGCAAGATTAGCACTTGATGATTGGTTAGTACAAACGATGCAGCAGAACTTCCTGAACAAGCTTAGTGACCTACGCGAGGGATCCTCCGCCAGGCCCTGAACCGATTATAACGTAATCGTACTCGGCGCTATCCGCGTTTACAGCAATCGCACTAGCTGCAAGAGCAGCAATAGAAGACCAAGTCAAAATCATTGTCGACACGAAGCTAGAGATGGGAACTTCTGCCCTCTAGCGGAAAGGAAAAGATACAGGGTGATAAAAAAACGTGTGAAATGCTCAAAAGTTGACCTGCGCTGATGGCCTTCTTCCAATGCATCTCTTGACTTAAGTATTTTGATTCTTTCTTCTCCAGAATCGCCATCCTGCAACAAACAATACTCATTCTTCGTGGCTGTACAGCCTCAAGCAGTAAGAATCACCACTCCACGTAAGATCGGGTGCTTCTTGGAGACAATAAAGTGGCATCTCGACGTCGTCAGCGCGCGGTGTTGGAGAGCTGAGTAGCAGTCAATGTTCAAGCTATATGTCATACCTATTGTGCACAACTCAGCCTTGTTCTTCTTTGCAAGGCACAATCCTATACATAGCCCATAAAAACACTGCCAACACAGATTGTGTTATTACCACTCACACTTAAGATGCACAAGGATAAGCGAGGCTTGGCAGCTTCCTGAAACGGACAACGATGTGGACGTTTCTTTGCTGCCAAGTTGTCTCCCGCAGGGTAGAGAATGCATGCGCCTCATCTTACTTGCGTCACCGCTCACCCAACCGCGAGGCGTTATCTTGGGTGCGCTACATGGCCAAGCCATTCAAGGCGTCCACAAGTGTATTAATTCCCTTCAGGTGCATCAACCTTGGCCCGTGGTTCTGAACTAAAAGAGCGCCCTGGGTCGGAAACGGATAGCAATTTGGACCACAGTACGAACACTTCGACATGACATCACAAAATGTACAATTTGACTTTATCATTTCCGACCCCGTGTCGAACCTCAAGCCCGGAAAAAGCTTACAGATCAGGAGCCGATGTATGCTAGGCAGGAATAAGCGCGAAGGCTCGAGGAGAACGCAGCGAGAGAAGAGAAAGATCGCGAATGCGATGGTACCAAGGGTTCCGCCAAATAGAGCACCCCGGCATTCGACTACCCTCTCGCCACCAGAGCCCTTGATCAAAGATATCGTGCGAACCCGCTTTTCTGGGCGCGGAATTGATCCCGAGGCCGAAATGCTTCTTGCTGATGCATTCACATTTAACTTTCTCGCCAATGACGTTACACCTCTGGAACGCTGTACCAATCTCAACTGCCTTGAATCGGCGTGCTTCTCCTGGCTTTTTACGGACACGACTTTTCTACATTCCATGCTGTGCGCGAGCTACGCCATCAAAGACTTCAAGTCTCCTCAGTCGAAGGGCAATCCGGGTGTTCAGACGACATTCCATCTCCAGGAAACCCTGTCATTGTTACGCATCAAGATGCAGAAGGCGTTCGCACACCAAGACGAATCCGTCCTCCGGGTCATCATAAACCTCACGCTATTGGCTATTGGGTTTGGAGACTGGGCTACAGCAGCCACACACCTTGAAGGCTTGCGTGAAATTGTGCAGCTTAGGGGAGATGCGGCATTTCTCGAAGAGAGACCAACCCTGCATTACAAGCTCGATCGGATTGACCTTGCATGGTCTCTCGCATCTGGCCGAAAACCTTACTTCATGCAGCCTATAAAGTCATGGGACTGCCGCATACGATGTCCATACCCAACTCCACCTCCAGATCTCTACCAGCCACCGGCAGCAGCCTGGGACTATCGGATCGTGAATGTCTTCAAAGACTTTCAAAATCTTGCGTTGATGATTAATCGCAACCGCCTCAAGTTTGCGATAAACAATCCCGAGATCTGCCAGGCTGATCTTGCTTCCATCCAAACACGTCTCATATGCGTCGCGGATGTTGTTACGCAGCCAATTGAGGAATTGGTCCGTCTGGCTATGTTGGCCATGTTGACTAGCACATTCCAACTCCCAGGGCATAGGATACCGTATGACTGGGTGGTCGAGCAGCTGAGAACAATGTACATCACTGCAGATAGCGACATGAGACAAGACAAAAGTCTACTGCTCTGGGGTTTACTCACCGCTTCGATTACAGTAGCTAGGATACAAGATACCTGGATACGAGATGCATTGAGAACTGCTGTAGCTGGACTTGAATGGAAAGACGTTCAGGCGCATGTCTCGAGAGTAATGTGGATCGAGATTGTACATAACAAGCCTGGCCAGAAGGCATACGACCGAGTTAGTAATGTGAAGTCGCACACTTGGCACACTAGCTAAGTACGTCCGTCCTGTGGCAGAGTAATGCATAGTCATCGTATACCCTACATAAATGAAGTAAAAGTCCTCGACTACTTATTGTGACCATACATTGTTGATGTGCAAAGATGGATGTTGACAAATATGCCCTCATTCGTAGCTACTAACAGAGTTAGAAAGTTAAAGAGATCATTGAACGAATTTTAAAGATCCTCAGCGCCAACTAACAGCTGTTGAAGCTACCTAAGTAAACTGAAGAGTGGTCATGCGCGGATACGTAGTCCATCTACTGTTAGCGGGGCGATGGATCGCCTGATACGTAGGTTTGCACTCGCCGCTAGATTATCGTGCTGGAACAGTCCGATAGTGGATCTGTCAGCGTCGTTTTTCCGAATGTGCTTGCAGCTATTTTGCCAGTAGAGTAAAATTTAGTTCTACTAGGTACGATGTTGTATGTCACGAATTTGCAAGAGGATACGTGATGTCAGCAGGAACAGTCAAGGCAACTGTGCCATCGCGATGCGTGTAGCTGAGCTAGTAATCACAGCTGGAAATGATACTGCCTTGTTGGCGTTTGCGCTCAGCGGGTGCGCCTTGAGGTGCGCAGTGTGTATTTTGCAGATGTTGTGGTGGGGGGCCAACATCCTGGGGCCCCAAATCAGCTGAGTTCTGCGCCATGCTGATGGCAAAGTCAATTGGTTTGGAGACATGACCAATCGGTACACTATTGGACGCCGGTGTATCATTACCCGCAAAGATGTGTTGAAGCCTAGAAGGACTACAATCAGCCTGAGGCCAGTCTAAGTTTTGAATCAGCCCACTCGGAATCTGATTCGGATGTTACATTGTGTGAGGGGGTGCAGTAACCGCTGCTTCAACATGCGATCTCGCTTGAGCCCTTCTCTTATTGGCTAACATCCTTGTTATCTCTACATCAGCCTTCAAGCCCTCTCTTGAGGAGCATAGATTCTTTCAGCTTTGTTTCCTTTTTCTGCCGTCACTGCCTCCCCTTTCATACTTTCTGCCTCAAATTTAGCTATGGCATAATGCACTTCGGTCACTATGTGAGGAGACAACGAATGCTCAGCCTCAACTGTAACGCATAAATGGAGGTACATCCATCTAAGCCAGGCTGTAAGATCTGAGTTCGTCTTGCAAGAAAGTGGCAAAATCACTTGTGGGCTACCATTGGAGAAGATTCGAATCTTTTACCTTTATTATTAGCTCTGAGCACTTTTCGACTTACATAAGGATATATACATCTCAATCATCACAGCAATGCCATTCATTTTCACGGAATATGACGAAAGATGCTCCCACATGTCCCTAGAGGAGCTGAGACTGGAGTGGAATCACTACACACGCCTTATTACCGGTTCGGCCACTTCGACGACCATATCCGGACTTGCAGCACCTCTCACCGGAGGTATTAGTTTAATCGGGGTTATGATCGGATCTACAGGCATCCACAATGCTCGAAAGAAACGTGCGATCATCGACTGCCATCTTGCTCGTTACGAGGAGCAGCATATAACTCGAAAACGAGACGTGATAGGATCAATGGCTTTCAGTGGTACTTTGGGAGTAGCAACGCTCGGCATCGGATCGATGGGCGCTGATATAGCGCTGACAGAAGGGATATGCCATGGGGTCTTTGAATCGACAGCTGAGACGGAAGTAAAGGTTGTCACTCACGTTATTGCGGATGGAGTTGGTCTAGCCATTGAGCATAAACATCATGAGGATTTGAAGGCGGAAGCAGAGAAAAAGGCTTAGTTTTAAAAGATTGATAATTGGATAAAAAGTGCTGCTTGTGTTGCATCAGGATATCAGTACTAGCTCGTCTTTGCTAAATTTGGTCACAAGGTCAATAGTGTGCGAAACTAGAACTGATCATGCAAGGTCTACTTAACGCAAGACAGGAGTAAGCGCGGTACGACAGTTCGCAAAATGCCCCCAAATCAGGAGCCAATTGTGTAAGCGAGTGTACATACGCCAACCTAAAGTTGAGTCTATATATGACGTATATTGTACGCACAGACAACATACCCCGCAGACAAAGTAGCTGAATGTACGCAGGCCTCAGAGCCAGCCCGTATTGCAATTTACACTACTGGTAGGGTGGCTATCTATGAACACTATCTCTATAGTGTATACCCCTCATTTCCTTCCAAGCATGGTCCGAATCACAGATTTATCCAGCGAGCTCCTTCTTGATATTACCTCCTATATGACCACAAGTGATGACTAACGTTAGAGCATTATTCCAGCTGTGTCGTACGTCACGCAGTCTCTGTGACGTTGCACAGCCAGCACTGTACAACTGTGTCCGAATAATTGAGTCAGCGACGGATCCTCTACTTCATCTCAAGCTCTTCCTTCGTACCTTGATAGCATCCGTCACTCGCTCAAAAGACCAAAGAACTCACTTTATACAATGACCGGGGATTACGTTACGAGTGGCCTGCTCTTGAGCAAGATGCAATCTTTATGGAACTCTCAGCACTGATCGGAGGTCATCCCTCTGAGATTGAACCTGAGCTTTGTTACTATCCGCTTGCTGCTCAGGTTCTAGCTCGGTTGCCAAATCTGCAACATATCCATTTCACAGCTCAAATCGAAGCACCACGAGCTTTGATGCATCATATCTATGAGATGCAGATTGATCGTTCGATCTTGTCCAAGTTAAAAACTTTTCATTTGTAGGTGACCCTCCTGATGTATCCACATCTGAGCAAGGTAGATCGTCGATCCGGCTTTTGCTTTTGCGCGCTTTGGGTAAATGTGGCTAATTTTCGACATCCAGGCACAAACAGTATGAGGACGGCCCGCTCAATATAAAGGACTACATATCTCTCATGCAGTTCCCCTGTTTCGAAAAGTTTTTTTCTGAGAGCGATGTGCCAAACACTCCGGATGGATCATGCGCAGTTAATACTCTGACACACATGACCGCGGAATTGCTTTGGTGTCTAGGGCCATTATCCACAATGGAAGCGCTACTGCAGATATGTCCCCATTTGACCGTTTTCAAACTCATCATAGCCGACGGAACCCGCTACAGATGGCTGTGAGATGTGGGCTATCAACCCTTGGTCACGCCACGGGATCTTGTCAAGGCACTGCTTCAAACGCACAGACAAAAACTGCAGACACTCTATTTGGACTTTCATGACTATTATAATCTCCGTGATCCAGAACTCATAGAAGAGATAGAGCATCTGGAAGACTGTGTATACATATACCCTTCATCCCGCGACTTTGGGAGTCTCACGCACATGGCTATAGAGTTCGAAAAGCTCGTAAGATTCCGCGATCTCCCAATGTCGCTAGAATATCTGGACCTCAGCTACTGCCATTTTGCGGACCTGGATCGGGCTTGTCTCATTGATATGATTCAGTTGAAGGGAAAGTGTTGTCCGGTCATCAAATCGGTCGTGGTGCGTGGCTGGGAGACGACTAACGAGGGAATCAACGCAGCGCGAGAACACGCTAGGTCTTTAGACATTCCTGTACATGTTGCGGAAGATGGACGTGCGCTGCTCGTTCAAAGTGGAGGTTATCATCTAACAATAAAGAGTCTTGCACGTTGCTAATTTGGTGATATCTCTAAGCGTGATATCCACCTATATCTCTTTAGTTGCGCGAGCGGCGTTTTCACGTCTCTTGAAAATCCCCTCAAAGATCGTACGCTACATCTATCCAGAAATAGAAGACTTACAGAGGTGACGGTCAGTAAGCTGAGACTCGGAATGGCAGAATTTAGGATTGAAAGAGTTCAGAGATTGGAAAGTGACTGTATGGGGGTGGTCAAGATGAGAGACTATGAGTCAGGCATCCACAAAAGTTGTATCCAGATCCAAGACACTGAGTTAACAATAGGCAGACACGGTTTCGAGTACGATACATGCCAAGTTTTTGGGAATGCGGTGAACAATTTTAAGTATCTCGGCTAAAAGAGACCAAAATACCTGGAGTTTTCAGACGCTTCCTAGTGCTTGGACGGCCCACTCTTGCTTTCATCATCAGCGTCCTGCGGAAACTGTACACCCATTGCTCTCATCATGTTTCCTGCCGGTCCAGAGAGTCCAGCTTGGCCTTTGAACGCCTTCAGCATGTTATCTGCAAGGTTGTAGTCTTCATCGAGTAGATCGTTGTCACCGTCGTCGTCCTCTTCGTCCTCTTCCCCACTCTCAATCTCCGAGAGTTTCGCTTTGCCCTTGCCCTTGTCTTTTCCCGGCAAAGTCATTGCCGATATTGACTTTTGGTCGGACTGTGGGTTGATGTTCAAAGCGCCGTGGCTGAACAGTTCAGCTTCCATCATTTCGCTCAGTTTTCGAATTTCCTCGTCTTCTTCCTTCTCGGCATCCTGTTCACATGCTAAAGCACGTGCTTCATCTGTAAGAATAGCCTTTTCCGCTGCAGAGAGCGTCATAAACTTTTCGTAGTACTTCTCGTACTCTGCATACTCGGCATCTGCTGCAGCATCTTCCTCATCGTCCGTACCCTTCTCTTCTTCTTCCCCTTCTTGTCCGTCCTTGTGACTGACCTTCGCTTTTGCTTCGTTTTTGTTCTTAGTCTCCGCAGTAGAGTCACTGTCTTCAGGGTCATCCCACCCTCTGTCGCCTGCATCTGAATCATTGTCTTCGTCCATGGGGTCTGATCCTCCGTCCGCACCTTCCGCGCCCGCTTCATTGTCGGCCAGGAAATCATTGAATCGGGCAACCATCTTTTTCAGATTTTCTTGTGCATTCTTGTCGCCAAACCCCTGGTTTCCTTTGCTACCCTTGCCCTCCAATTCCCTCTCAAATTCGGCAAAATCGATATTCAACCAGCCTTCATCATCGTCACATTTTGGCCAGCTAGCAATCTCAGCATTCGTGGGAAGGGTATCATCGCCATTATCGAGGTCCTCGAGTAGTATAGTAATCTCACGTGCAGATTTGTGTGAGGCATAAATGGAATGCGAAAGTAGAATCTGCATGCCAGCTGCGATCTTGAGACCGACCTCAGCTTTCTCTGTTGGTTTTCCTGATTTGACGAGCTGTTCCAGCGCAGAGTCCCATGGTGCAGGCGGTTCCCAATGCTGTCCAAGCAGCTGGGCATATAATACTTTCGTAAAACGCACGCTAACGTCGACAAAGTCTTCGGGCGGGAAAACGAGAGTTATCTTTGATTTTTCGGGTTGTAGCAGACGTATTGAGATGGGGTCGCGGAGGTAGAATGCCTCTACTACTGGGGCAATATACGATGGGTTGAGATGTAGGATGTGGGCAACTTTTCTTGGAAGGGGCACTGTTGCATGATGCTGATTGTCTGCGATGGCAGCAGGATAGCCACTCAATCGATGGAATGCCTCTTTCTCGACCTTGATGTACTGTTGAGGCCGCCCCGGGGTATCGTGAATTATTTGTAGGGCTTGATTCTGGGAGAGTGGTGCAGGGTCCTCCTGCTTGCCCAAGGGAATGATTAACAGTCGATGACTGTTTATCCATACCCTGTTATCTGCAACTTCTGGGGTGAGCCACTTGGGCAGCGCATTCGCAGCTTCGATGAGTAGGAACTCTCCATCACTATCGTATATGCGTATCCAAGCATCCTTGAATTCTTTGCTTAGCTCACGCAAAAGGTAAACAATGAGCCACTCGTCCGCTATACTATCGCCATAATTTGTGTGGCCTCGAAGTAGCCATCTCTGTTCTTCGCGCACAAGTTCAAGTTTTAGTGAGTCGCGTTGCCAAATATACTCTTTGAGAAATTTCCTTTCCAGCGTATTCAATGCACGTTGAAATCCCTGCAATCGTTCTCTAGTTTGGATGTCGGAGAGCGTAGAGTCAATGATAAAGACGATGTATTCCACAACGTCGTCAGGTAATTTCTTCGGGAACCCGTCAAATCCCTCGCCAAACCATTTGAGGCCGTCTTGCGGGCCTTCCATATTGCGGAGATCTTGTACTGGTTTTGGCGTATTTTGCAGACCGAATTTTGTAGGAACCAGCAACTGATCTGCGAGATTGTATTGGTCCGGGGGTTTTTACGTAGGGAGAAAACATAAATCTCAGCGATGGTTCCTAAAGGCAGGTTGAATAGAGATTTTGGTGCAGGCAGCAAAATCAGAACACGTGACTGCCGCCACGCGCGTTGTGGATTCAGCCGGATTTGGCTAGGGGCGGGGGCAGCATCCCTGTCATGATCCGAGCGTCCCAAACAAACAACACTACCCAAAGTACTCCCAATCGACAACCCAAAGAAAGTCAACAATTACTTGACGTGCGCACGCCAGGGGACCTGCCATTTCTCTCACTCATGCGCCAATAGACAACATACCTATCACCCAACCATGGCGCACCTACTCGATACGCCTCGCACAGAGGTCGGCGACATGACGCGCTTCACTACCAACGAGCCCTCTTTCAGCATAGAAGAGACATTCCATGCCCCAACAGACCGCGACAACCTCTTCAAACAAATGAGCGGCGCCCGCACGCCACGGGCTCAACTGACTACACGACGCAACCTAAGCGCGAAGAACGAGTTCACACCCATGCTAAAGAGTGCAACCGCGAATCGAACACGCCAGGTCAACGGCCTCTTCGACGGGAAGATCACGACACCCATTGCCATGAAGCCAGGCTTTCAGGTCAGCAACACGCCGCTGCCCGAGGCAAGCATGTTCGACGTGCAATCAAGTTCTTTTGCCGAATCGGTCGATGACCGCACACAACTGCCCGATCCCAACTCTAGCGCCATGAGCACACCCATGGCGATACCAAGGAGAGCAGAGGGGGAGATGGACGGTGGGAATGGCAATGTGCTTACCCTAAGAGAGCAGGAAGATGTAAGTGAAGGCAGACACCCAAGATGTTAGTAACAAGCCTGCAGTTCAAAGCGGCTAACACTGTATGTAGCGACTAGCACAGATTGATAAGGAAAACTTCGGCCTGAAGCTGAAGATCCATTTCCTCGAAGAGAACTTGAAGAAGATGGGGCCCGAATTCAACCGGCAAGCCATGGAGGAGAACATCAACCTTAAGTCTGAGAAGGTTACCATGTCGCGCGACCTCAAGAATTACTCAAAAGACCTCAAAGCTGCCGAGACAGAACTGGACCACTACAAACAACAACTCAGAGAATATGCGGAGAAAGTCAAGCGGAGGCATGCAGACGAGGGTATGCGCGAGGAGATGGACGAGCTCCGACGACTGGCCGATGAGCGCGCTGCTGAGATTGAGCGACTCGAGGAGAAGTTAGAAGAGGCAAGGAGCGCGGAAGAAGAGCTGGAGAGGGCCAATGCGGATCTGGAGAACGCACAGGCAGAGGTTGAAAGACGCGATAGGATGTTGGACGAAAACGACGAGCACATCAAAGATCTGGAAGACCAGCTAGAAAGAGCGAGGGTGTCACAGTCCAGCGATGAAGAGAAAGATCGGCAGTTCAAGGAACAAGCCCAGCGGATCGCCGAACTTGAAGAAGAGTTGCGGTCTGTTCAGGATTCCAAAGATGTAGTTCAGGCAGAAAAAGACCGACAACTGGCTGAACAAAAGGAAAAGATTCAGGACCTAGAGGAACGACTTCGCTCGGCAGAACACGAAAAGGATACTGAAATCAACTCTCTACAGTCAAAGCTGCAATCTGCCACGGATGGGAAGCAACAAGAGATCCGTGAGCTTGAGCGAAACCTTGATGAGTTGGAGCGCGAGCTGGACGAAGCGGATGAACAGAGACAACGGGAACTTGACGAGGCCAATGAGCAGAAACAAAGAGAAATCGCTATAATCGAAGAGCGCTTACGCTCAATAGAGCGCGAGAAGGACAATGAGCTCCGAGAATTCCAGAGGCGTCTTCAGACTGCTCACAACGAACGGCAAGCAGAAATGGATGCGCTGCATGAACGACTGGAACTCGCGGAATCGCAAGGCGACAACCAAGTACAACTAGCTCAACAATCCGCAAATGATGCCCGGCAAAAGGCATTGGAAGTCGCGCGTGAGAAGGGCCTTGAGATTGAGCTTTTGCAATCTCGAGTCGATGCAGCTGAGTCCAGAGCGGACGAACTTGAAGAATTCCGCAAAAAGCACCAAGACGCAATGCAGCAGATCACTCGTTTGCAGCAAGACGTATCGACCTATGAACAGCAACTTCAGCAGTTGCGTAGAGATCTCAGTCAAAAGGACCGCGACATGGAAGGGTTGGAAAGATTACGCAGAGAGCGTGATGACGCAACCCAGGAACTCACTGGCCTTCGCGCAAATCTCAATAGCAAGGATGCTCAAGTACAGGCACTCAACAACGCGAGGCAAGAGCGCGATGCTCTCTCCCGTGAGCTTACTACCCTTCGTCGCGAGCGTGACAGCCTGGTCTCTAAAATCTCGACCAAGGAGGAGCAAGTGGAGGCACTGCGGAGAGGCAACAGCGACCGCGACACATTGGTTGCGACTCTTCGCCAAGAACGCAACGACATCGAAAATGAGATGCGCAACCTCAGATCAGCTGTGTCGGGCAAAGATACGCAGATAGAAGCCCTTCAGAGAATCACGCGGGAACGCGACGCGATTTCTCGGGACCTGGCTATTCTTCAGTCAACACTGCAAGCTCG